TGAATTCTTTCACAGCACCTTCACACAGGCACTTCAAACAACTAATATAATATATTTCCATTACAGGGTGATTCTAGGTTTACAAAAACGAAAATTCATGAAACATCCGAATTTAGTTTTGGATTCGGAATTAAGTAAGAAGTATCCAGTATCCAGACATCGTCTCAAATTTGTCAGATAATAGTAAGCAGGTCACAAAATTAAAAAGAATAAATAGAAAAAAAAAAGAATGGCGGAAGAGGTTGCATTTTTTATTTGACTTACAAGATTTTTAAAATTAAGAAAAAAATTTTGTTAATATCCGCCGGGGGAAGCAGAGGAAGAGGCAGACGTCCATTCCGTTGGAAGGACCAAGGACCTGGCTTCACTTGGAATATCTAATTGGCGCCACGTAGAAAAAGAAGAAACGACTGGCACGCTGTTGTTAACTCGGCTATAATCGCGTAAGCGGTGTCTACGCCAATCAAGAAGAAGAAGAATAGCAGTGAACTTGTAATATTATTAAATTCTCTCCTTTTGTAGTTTGGAACACTTCAGAAATACGGAAGATCCATTTTTTTTGGAAAAAATGTTTAGAGTATATTATCGATTTGCAAAATCTGTGTGCTGGGAATTTCTAGTTTTCAGTTTGGTCTCCGAAAGTAATTCAAGGAATGTTAGATAGCACTATATATTCTCTTTCGAGATCCGTTATGACTCTGCAAATATAGCACTCTGTATATAGCATATACAATACGGATAAAAGAAAATAACATTTGTTCTCCATTTTGTATTCTCTCTTTAATTCCGATAATCCCCAATTATTTTAAAGCCTTAATAAGTTCGGTTTTCGATTTAAAACTTTTCTGCGATTGACGAGTATATACTTTCTATACCCACCGATTTGAAGCAAATATGGCACCCATTATATGTATATGCAAGCGTGTGTGGCGCGTCCCGTCTATTAATATAATATAATATTTGTACTCCACCTACACCTCTGCCTTGCCTCACACCTCGCGTCTGCTAGCTTTTGGGGTAGACGATTCGGAACTCTACAGATTTCTGCACCCCTGCGTTTGCTTATTGAAGCGCGTGTGCCACAGACATTTTTCCTTGTTCCATGCCGTCGTACATACATACTTATGTACATATCGTGTATGCTCAGGTCCTTACGTAGCTCCTGGCGTTGTGTGCCGTGAATGTTTATTGGGAGTATATCTTTCTAATTTCTTATTTATGAGTTATTGAGATTTATTGTTAAATATTGAATGATACATAACAAATACTATTACATTTTTATTACACTCGCATATATGATTTGTTCTTTTAAGGAGATTTATCTTTACCCGAAATTGGTGGCGCCTAATTTCTTTAACTTAGGTGGATTACCAGTGACAAAGAACTACTATGCTTAAGTAAATCCCTATTTTTTCACATATACATACACAGATTTTCAAATGGATAGATATGAGCATAAGTTTGCCTGAGAAAATAAAGAGAATTTACGGAATAAACACGCGAGATTATTTTTGCTTTCGTACAAAATCTCAACCAGTGAGGATATTAGACAGAATGTGATTGACTCCACACTGATAGAATGTGAAATAAGTTAGTTAAGGGAGTAAAACTTGTCTGATATTATTAGAGATAGTCCAAAAAACAATAATGCAAGAGTTAGCATCGAAAAATCGGTCGAGAGGTAAATGATATCTTACTCGATTGTGGACAAGGTATTCATTTAATTAAAGGCAAATGCTTATCAAATCTTCATTGCGTCGTCTCCTCTGGGAAACCGTAACCCATCCTTGAACCACTTCAGAGCGGTGTTCCATATTCCTCGTCTCAAACCCGCATGTCATTACCTAGATGCAGGTCTCGTTTTTATACTCTCGCAACAAAGTTGCTAAAGAGAGTATTATAGTTTTGTTCACATAACGGTTGTTTGTAAGTCCTAAAACTGAAAGAGTCAGATATAGGGTTATATATACCAAAGTGATCAGGGTGACGAGTAGAGTTGAAATCCAGATGTCTGTCTGTCCGTCCGTCCGTCTGTCCGTCCGTCCGTGCAAGCTGTAACTTGAGTAAAAATTGAGATATAATGGTGAAACTTGGTACACGTATTTATTGGCTCCATAAGAAGGATAAGTTCGAAGATGGGCGAAATCGGCCCACTGCCACGCCCACAAAATGGCGGAAACCGAAAACCTATTTATTGTCATAACTAAGCCATAAATAAAGATATTAAGGTGAAATTTGGCACAAAGGATCGCATTAGGGAGGGGCATATTTGGACGTAATTTTTTTGGAAAAGTGGGAGTGGCCCCGGCCCCTACTAACTTTTTTGTACATATCTCGAAAACTACTATAGCTATGTCAACTAAACTGTATGGAGTCGTTTCTTTTAGGCATTTCCATATACAGTTCAAAAATGGAAGAAATCGGATAATAATCACGCCCACCTCCCATACAAAGGTTATGTTGAAAATCACTAAAAGTACATTAACGGACTAACAAAAAACGTCAGAAACACTAAATTTTACAGAAAAAATGTCAGAAGGAAGCTGCATCCAGGCTTTTTTTAAAAATTGAAAATGGGCGTGGCGCCGCCCACTTATGGACCAAAAACCATATCTCAGGAAGTACTCAACCGATTTCAATGAATTTCGGTATATAATATTTTCTTAACACCCTGATGATATATACCAAATATGGGTGAAATCGGTTCACAACCACGCCTGAAATCTCGATTATCACTTTGTCATGCGAGAGTATAAAATGTTCGGTGGCACCCGAACTTAGCCCTTCCTTACTTGCTAAGTCTTATGTTTACTATGTAATTCTTGTCACTATTCAGGGGGTTGATCAAGCTGCGCAGTCTATTTCGTGTGCATTTAAAAAACGTGGGTTCAGAGACATCCTCGATTTTTTGGTCTTTTGTGGTGGTGACATTTGATTCTTGTTTCTTAGATGTCCACATTTTCTTTCTTTCAAATGCTGGTAGTCGGGGGTCCGCTTATTACCGCTAAAGCTTCGCCTGACACTATACGATTGCCGATATTACCCTAATAGTAGTAGCTGTGCGGTAAGTTTTTTCAATGGCTTTACGCCGATTATTTTTCCTCAATGAGTCTGTTCATAACCCCGTTCCGACTAGTGCAAGATATTCAGTATGCAGTCATTATGAAAATGAATTTGAAATTTGAAAGTTAAGGTTTTTTCAGCAGTGTGTTAGATTTGTACGCAATAGATTGGCCTGGAATCTCATCTAAGACAGGGGTAATTGACAATCTTTTGCACAACAGAAATTTCTTCTCTGCTAGCAATACGAACTCGGTTTTTTCAGTGGCACGTTTAAGACCTCGCCTGTCAAACCAAATTTGTATCTTTAGTCAACCGGCCAGTCATCTGCGTAGCAAACTGGGCTAAAAATCTTCGCGTATTCGAGCCTTAGTATTCCGTCGTTACTGATGTTACAAAAGGTCTGGGTCGAGATTTGATATCTCTCAAGCTCTTGATGTGATGATTAAAGTCTTGGTCCTTCAGTAGTTTTACCTTTGAAGTAACTTCTCACCATTAGGTCAATATGTATTGTTGTTTTGTATGTTTTTCCTGCTGCAACTTAGTTTTCCATTTAGCGGTGCTGAAAACATTCTTTAGGGCCAGGATAGCTAGGCAAAAAAAAAAAACAACTCGTCTGAGTTTGTTAAATCCAATACGCAGTGCTTCATGAGAAATATCCCCATGACATTCTTAACTGCCCCCAATGTCGATCTACCAAGTCTGTATTATCTGGGTGATAAGCCGCCTGTCCTAGTAATTATTTCTTCTACTTACGGTTTCAGCAAATTTTCGAGAAATTTACAGAATGTTTTAGGCATCCGATAATTCTATTGGCAATGTCCTTAACAGCACGAAAAAGGGAAGTTGAATTCCTGTGTATAGCTGTAAGGTGCTTCCCTTTTCTTTCCATTTTACTGTCCATGGACCAGTATACCATAATGCTAATGAAATTACGAAAATGGCTCCTTGGTCATACACACATGCTTTTTAGCTAAGAGGTGAAATACCCTTTACCAAAACTGACCCATAAATAAATTGACTGGCATTGAAGTCAGGGATTGAAGAGCAGAATATGGCATTCAAGGTACGAAATGAGAACCACAACATCTATTACTGATACTTAGTACAAATAAAGAACTTGGAAATTTATTAGTCATTTATTATCGAAACATGTGTTATGAAAGGTCGTTCAACTCAACAAGTAAGTTTCTTTGATTCTGCAGTAAAAACGGGGTCACTATTTCATTTTATATACATTTTTATGTTTGCGAACTTACTTCGTGCATAATACGGGATAAAATTGAATCCGTTGATTTAACTTCGATTTAAAAAATACATGATTGTTAAAGATCATGAGCAAAATGTATTAAGATCGATTATATATTGAAAAATCAAATAAGCTTATCCGGAAAAATTGTTCTCTTAATGCATGGTATTAAAGTTGGCCTCGAACGATCCCGCAGCATAACCAACTTATCGTTGTATTAAGCGTATTCTACCAGCCCAGTAAATGGAAAATGCTGCAGTTTCTGCCACCTAATAACAATTCACAAACTTAACTGAAACAAAGTCAATTATGTGCTTGTAAAGCATCCAACCACATGTAGACACGTCGCTAGTTGCCCATTTTGCACTAAGTTAATTTTATTTTAATTTTCTACTTTCAGCTTGCCGGGTCACCATCAGTCAGGAAATGGCGGAACCGGTGAAGTGATGAATGTATAAAACTCATTACCGTAGAACCAATGACCAAGCCCAATCATGCATATCGGAGTGCAGAATCTAATTAATATTGTCGGTCAGTGCATCACATATTCAAACAACAACAGTAAAAAGGACATCAAGCAGGAGCGCGGCGCTAAGTGTATATCCAGTGTAGTTTAATTATACCTCTCCGATACTGTGTTGCCGCCGAGGTGGCAGAACCTAGTGCACGCTGCGGATAACCGCCGGAACAACCTAAGGCGGATGTAGGGTTGCAGCTGCAATTTGAAGTACATTTTCCACATTTTGCGGCACAATGGCCAATAGGGTTCGGGTACTACTTCTATTAATTGGCGCAAAAATTAGGCCGTTGAAGCGACTGGCGGCATAAATAAGCTTCGGATCGGACTTTCGGTCGAGTCTTTCACGCGAGAAGTGAATTCTTTACAGGGAAAACGCATGAAATTTTATTAGCAGCATTCAATGAAATCTTATAAGACATTTCCTTCGCGACGCAAGCGGTGGCGTAATTTATGTATGAAATTTGTCTAACGGTTTAGAGAACGGTCAGTTTAACCTCATTGGAAATCGGGCGGCGAGCTGATTTACTGAGCGTGCGCACATAAATAACAGCAAAAACAATTAGGTAACAGTAAGTGCTATGTAGGAAGATGGTATCGTTGGCGGAAATTAACACCACAGCGGCAATGACGCCGAGCGGCTTCTTCCGGATATACGGTCTCAACGTCGGCGGTGATGACGATGACATCGTTCTAAATGGCAGTGGTGATGGTGACAACAACGAGGTGGAAAGGGTTGTTATGGACGCTTGGAATACAATTGGCAGCTCAAACTCAACTAGCAACCACGCGACGAATGTGACCTCAATGAACTCGTCTTCGATGACTCAGCACAACACCACATTCGCCGATAATGCCAACAATACGTCCTATACATGGCCATCTGCAACGGATGAATCGTACAGTGACTTGGATTTCCAATCATCTTCTGTATTTGTTGGTTCTAATTCAACGCTGCCTACAGATAGGAAAGCAGCGAACGGAAATGGAATTGGAAATGAAGGTGGGTGGTCGGTTGATGGTAGCTATGACACCACTGAAGGCGCACTTGATAATTGCACTACACCAACAAACAGTTTGTTTGATACTGCCTTTACGACAACGGGAAGGAGTCGCGTTGCTGTTGTTGAGAACGGGGATGATATCAACTTTGCTTTGATCGATAGTGCGGAAACGGCTATGGGCGGCGACAATGATTACGAAACAGTAGAGGGTTTTAATGGTGGTGTTGACGAAGTTGATCGCCTACCGGACGATAATACTGATTTTATTCGCCGTTCCAGCGCATTAGACAGTTTCGGATCGATAAGAAACGAATCATATTACCCGAGTTTCGATGGCGGCGGCACAAGCGTGGCGACTGCGAGAAAGGATGTAATTGGTGGCGCGGGCGATAAAAGTGGTAGTTCATTCATGCTGATGCTTGAAGACTTTGGCGATTATTTTTTTAATTTTAACGGAACCGGCAGCGGGGTCGGTGATGGTGTCGCGTTTTCGGAAACACAATCTACAATAAGCACATTAAATGCGACCGACTTCCTTACACGAACTAATTGCTCAAATATAACGGATTTGTGTGTGGAGCCATATGATGAAAGTAAGTGAATCCTTATTATATATTTTGTGAACTTAACTGTCGACCGAAAAGCTTTTAAAGTGAGACTTTTGTCTTGTTCATCAATTTAGTCATCCATCATAGATTTTGTTAAAGATATTAAAAATAGATTTTCATTTTCAAAATGAAAACGAAATAAACAGAGAAATGTAAATTCTAAAGCAAAAATATTTCAATTTAAAATTATAAATTTGAGCCTTGGGAGATTGACTACACATTTGAACCTGTTGAGGCTGTAACCACTCATTAGCGACTTGGCGTGGCGCATTCGTTGGAGTTGTTGCCAATACCTCTCCTTGTCTACTCTTTTCTCCTTGCGGAGCAGCTCCCGTGTGGTATGAGGACCCACCGCGATGTAGGTTTCAGGTCCTATCGTGTTAGTGAATGATGTATAGCGGGCGAGCTTATCAGCCAGTTCATTTCCGGCTATTCCTTTCTGACCGGGCACCCAGATGAGCTGCACTTCGTTACGTTCCGATAAACTGTTCGGCCGGTCTCTACACTTCTGAAATAGTATCGGTTTGATCTCGCAAGCAGAGATCGATTTAAGTGCTTCTCGATGGTTATACATTCGGTGCCATAGTTGCGTCGGAGGTTTATCTCTACGCACCGACTTATGCCAAAGACCTCTACTTGAAAACTTTTTTCAGGTGTGGAAAGTTTGGTGCGTGGTCCTGCGACTCCTGCATCAATTCCCTTCGACTTTTTCGAGCCGTCGCTGAACCACTTGTGCCTATCGGTGGGTCCTCACACCACTTGTACTATCTATAAGCAAGGAGTAACCTTCTTTTTAGTGAAGTTTAAGTCCCTTGAGAGAAGACCCAATTGTATTTCATCATAAGTTTTTTTATATGCTAGGATGAGATTTCCTTACCTCTGCCAAGCCTTTCTGCTGTTATTTGAAGCAATGTGTGTTTGGCTACCTGACCAATTACCGCTCCATACGTGATAATCGGTCCTAACAATCCATTGCTTGTAACCCCAGGACAATGACATTGTTAGTCATATCTACCACTCTGTCCCCAAACGTTAGGTTCCTTTGACGCACCCGGACAGTTATTGAGGTTTATTTATTTCTTATTTTATTTCATAACAATCTTATTTATTTTCTATGCTTTCTCGATTTACAGTTGATCCGAATTATTGGGGGCTTACGTTGATGGTGTTTCCTGTGCTAACATTGTTCGGTAATATTTTAGTGATCCTTTCAGTGTGCCGCGAACGATCCTTACAAACGGTTACGAATTATTTTATCGTGTCTTTGGCAATAGCCGATCTACTAGTTGCTGTCGTGGTAATGCCGTTTGCGGTTTATGTTTTGGTAAGTAGTGTTTATTTTATAATTTGTCCATAAATGTGATGCCATAATATAATTAAATTCTATACCCATTATGAAATAAGCTTATATTTTATTCCGACACTTCGGTGTTTCGATATATGTTTTTAAAACTATTACTTAAACTCCGAAAAATATAATTTTATTCACTGAGTAATCAAAATAATAAAAGCTTCGGAAAATTTGTTGAAATCGAATCGATCAAGGATTCAGGGACCAAATGTGTGGACTCAAACGCAAATGGCTAATTTTTTTCTGAACATATTGGTCAGTCTGTGAGCTTTAGCATTGAAATTTGAGGAGATATTTTTGAGATAACACTATGCGCTGGTGGCAAAAATGTCTACAATCAGTTCAGTACTTCGCTCATCACCCTAAAACCTAATTAACATAAACATTTTCGAGCTTCTTGTTAAGTTTATACCGCATCTGTAGGCCAAAATTTTAATAAAATTCAGAAAGAATCTCATTTTAATAATACTTTTAGTGTATTTATTTGCATAAAATGGATGAAATCAGGGCAGTACTTCCCCTAGTCCCCATATATATATACATACGTACAGTTAATATTCGGATTTTCAAATATCCGTTATAAAAGACATAAATGTATGGGCTGCGAGGTTTTTATTTTGCAAATTGCTAGGGTATAAAAGGAGCGGTTACACCCGAACTTAGCCCGTTCTTTCTTGTTCCTCTTAATTTATTTTATCTTTAATTCTAGTTGAGAGTATTTCTTTATGAGGGTCCAATATTCCACCTTTTAAATTAGCATAAAGGATAACCAAAATAGTATTCCTAAGAACGAAAAATATACATTATTCGTTAATCAAAAATGACCAAAACTGCAAATTTCTAGTGATGACCATTGTGCCATAAGTATACAAGTCTACATGTAAATATATGCATTGCTTATGCGCATATAGAGAGATACATTGGCGAGACCACACGCACTTCTCCTTGAACTTTGATTTATGTGCGCGTATTTTGTCAGTTGTTGATTGATTGGATTAACAGAAAAGAAGGTAAATTTTGACTTTATTTTCGTCTTTGTTATGTTCCATTATGTTCCGATGTTACTGTTATTTACAACTTTGTCATCATGACTATTGGTATGCTTTGAGGTCACTCATGGTATTTTTTGCTTTATTATCGTACTTCTGCGCTTCCAAATGTATGGTGTTCCACTACAGACGACGACAGAAAAAGGGACACAGCGATTGTGATAAAAGAAATGAAAGGACTTGGAATTGTGTACAGTAAGTTTGCTGATGCAGCAAAAATTTACACCTTGTTACAGACTCGCGTTGAGCTTGACATATAAATAGCGAAAAGTGTTGCATAAAAGATATTTGAGTGCTGTTAAACTAACGGTAGTTTGTATATATGTATTATATTTAAATTCTTGGCATATATGATAAATTTGTTTACAGAGCGCCTATGAAAAATTGGTAAACTTTGTGAATGAGCACGTCCTCTATAATTTCATAAGTGTCTAAGATATAAATTTGTAAATATTTGACCGAATTGCGAATAAACAAGATGTCAATAAAATAGCATTACAATTATTTAATTAAATGTAAATAAAACGCAAAATATTTAGTTATTCATCAGTATTTATTTTGTCACCTTCAAAGTAATCGCCACCAGTTGTATGTAATTTTCCACAGTCGAAGCACTTTTCATAAGCATCTTTTGGGAAGGCTTTCAGATCCGTCAACGAATTTGCTTTATCTCTTCAATCGACTGAAAACGGGTTCCACGGAGAGGTAATTTCAGTTTGGGGAACAAGAAAACGGTATTTGATCGCTGGTATTCATTACGTTATTTGCTTTAAATTCAGTCACTATCGTGGCTCGATGCGATGGTACATTATCAACGTGTAAAATCCATAAATTGCTCTTTTACAATTTCGCTCATTTTCGACGGATATTCTCACGCAAACACCTCAACACAGCAGCTCTTGTAAACAAACTGACAGATCGCGTTCATCTTTTGCACAGTAATTAAGGACAGACTTATCAACTTAGCAAAATATATTTTTTTGAAATATCATTTAACCGGGAATTTAATTACAACTATAAGATGCGGTGTGATCGGTTGCTGCTATGATTCATGCCGCATTCGACACAAAGGTTCATACTCTAGAAGATAATCTTATTTTTAAATCTTTTTTATTTTGTAAAAAACACCAAGAGCTAGAAGAAGAGGAGGCTGTAAAATATATTCTTTGCGAATGCATGGCTTTCTATACGAAAGCGAAACTATTTGTGGTTTTTTTTCTAATTTATCTCGCTATGGATGTTTTATAACTCAACATATATGTGTAGAAAAGGGAGGAAACTAAGAATTAAAGAAGTATGCGTCTAATAAAATTTTAGAAAAATATTCCGAACATAAACTTTAATTTCTATACTGCTCAGTATTCACCTAAACTATTTCTGATAATCCAGACATTGATCGGAAATTAAATAGGCTAGTTATTTGAAGACTAATAAATCGGATATTAAATAACATACTGCGCCGGAAGCATTTAACCCATTATTCAGTTCCATGTTATATGATATCTTAACCCACAACTATAAATTTTTGTCACCAAAAACAAAACGGTTTTTCAACAGTCCAAGCAGTATCCCGTGACTGCGTCTCGAAACACCCGAAATTGATCTTTACTATTGTGAACTCAATATCCTTGTTTAAAACAAAAATACTTCCAGGTAATAAAGAAACTCCTTACAAGAATTTTAAATAATAAGACTCTTACTGGTTTTTATTCAGAACGTTGGAAGAGTAAAACAAGTAAGGAAGGGCTAAGTTCGGGTGTCACCGAAAATTTATACTCTCGCATGATAAAGTGATAATCGAGATTTCTTTATCCGTCATTTACATATTTTTTTATTTTGCTGTAAATTAATTAGATTAGATCAATTTGTGTACTTTGAGTATTGAATTGTATTTTCATTTATTTTAATTGCATTGAAAAGTTATAGTCCGGTCACGACAATTTTTCGACAAGGGATACCTCAGCCTCAGCAAATACCGTATTTGTGTAAAGTTTTATTCCGCTATCATCATTGGTTCCTAATGTATATACGAGTATTATACAGAGAAGGCATCAGATGGAATTCAAAATAGCGTTATATTGGAAGAAGGCGTGGTTGCGAACCGATTTCACCCATATTTCGTACATGTCAT